CAGGGCGGGCAGTCCACGGGGCTGCTCTTGCCAATGCCGAACTGAGCCAGGGCCTGGCGCTGCAGCTGTCGTGGGAACAGGCCAAAAATAGCCTGTTCCTAAAACCCTGGCTTGGTGCCTGAGTTTCAGGGCAGGTCGGTCTGATAACAGACCGAAAATGGCCCTTCGTTTCAGGCTAAAAGGGCTACTGCCATTTTTAGTCTGAAAGGACACAGGGTCTGTAGGCCCCTGTTTTTCAGGCTTTCGAGCTGAATGGACACGGGGCCTGTAGGCCCTGGTTTTCAGGATTTCAGCCTGAATTTCAGGCTTTCAGCCTGAGGGACGCAGGGCCTTGAAAATGGCCCTCGTGTGCAGGCGCAGCATGTAACCCCCCCCCCCTCCTTATGAAGTCAAGCCGGGGCGAGAGTGAAGCTGACGATCTGAAGGTGGAACCTGGACGCAGGCGAGGCGTGGAGCCGAAGAGACCGGCTTGCCTTGCATCTTGCGTTCGTAGCGCGCGAGAACGTCTGGAGCTGTTGCTTGAAGTTCCGCACGGGTCAACCAACGGTCAGCTCGGTGTGTGCAGTATGCAAAATGTACCAAGTACTCGGTTGGCCTGTTGCCGTAGCGTCGCTGGGAGATGATGTCGCCGACCTCTTGAAAACCGTCATAGAGGGTGGGTCTTGCGATTGTCGCCCGGGAAAATCGTCATGTTCCGCTGGCGTGTAAAGATTCAACTTGGAGCAATGAAAGACCGGGTAGACGGGCAAGTGGGCGGGCACCTGAATAGTGAAGGAAGGTCCCTCGGGTGCATCCCCAGCGGGTGCCACGATGGGCCAGGGCCCCATCCATTTCGGGAGGAGCTTGCGAGAGATATCTTGTTCAAGGCTGAATTCCGCGGCGGAAACCCAAACGAGGTCGCCGACGGGGAATGGGCAGGGGAGACGCTGGCGGTTGGCCTGCTGGCTCATGCGTTGTTGCGTCTTAGCCATCTGGTCGCGTGCCTTGACAAGAAGCTCTTGCATCCGTCGTAAGAACAGAAGATGATCATCGCTCTCGGTCGCTCGTGGAATGATGGTGTCCAACGGAGAAGTGACCGGCGAGCCGTGCTCGAATTCGAAGAGCGACATCCCAATAGCCGGGTGAATGGAGGAGTTGTAGGCCAACTCGACATCCGACAATCACTCAACCCAATCCTTCTGGTAAGGACGGATGAGAGTGCGAAGGAGAACCTGTGCGGTCTGGTGCGCTCTCTCCGTTTGGCCATCGGTCTGGGGGTGGCGAGCTGAACTGGGCTTGAGAGATGAGCCCCATCGCTTGATGAGCGCCAACCAAAAATCGGACATGAACCGAGTGTCGCGGTCGCAGATGATTTCCTTGGGGTAACCCTTGGTTCGAATCCAACCGGCATAAAGAACCTCGGCCAACTCCGGTGCCTTGGCATGATAGCGACAAGGCGAACTTGGTGAGTCGGTCGACCACCGTGAGAATCCCATCCAAGCCGTTCTTGTGCTTGGGGAACGGGCCGGTAATGTCCATGGCAATCGCTTCCCTCGCCGCAAGGGGACCGGTAATGGTCGCAACTCGCCGTATGGACGATGGTTGCAGGATTTGCAACGTCGGCAAACCTCGCATGACTCGCAATAGCGTGTGACGTAGCCGAGAAGGCCGGGCCACCAAAATTGCTCGCGAAGTCGGCCAATCGTGCGATTGACTCCAAAGTGTTCGGTGGCGGGAGCATCGTGGAACTCGCCCAGAAGTCGTGTACGCAAGTGAGGGTCACTCGGTACGCAAAAAAGGTCCTTACCCCGTGTGTGGACAAGCAAGTACCCCTCTTGGATCCGGTAGTGAGAAGGCGCCGGATTAGGAGAGGAGCAATTCGCGTACTTGTCGCGAAACTCAGGGTCGGCTTGGTAGCCGCGGATGAAGCTGTCCCGCAGGTCATTGTCGATCTCGAAGGTTGAGTAGACCGCAGTACAATGATCCGGACGCCGTGAAAGAGCATCCATGAAATGGTTCGACTTCCCTCGAATGTGATAGGGAAAGAAGTCGAACTGATAGATGAAAGTCATCCATTGAGCGATGGTACTGTTGACGGCGTCTTGGGTCTTGTAAAAGACCAACGGATTGTTGTCCGTTACCCATCGGAATTGGCTTCGACCAAGGAGGAAGTGCCGCCACCTCTTGAGAGCGTGGACGAAGGCGAGGAGCTCCTTCTTGCGTGCATCGTCAATGGAATGCACGACGGGCACTTTCTTGCTGAATTACTCGACCGGGTGCCAGTCCACGCCATCATGTTGCTCGAGGACGGCACCAATGCCATAGCCGGACGCATCCGTAGTGACGCGCGTAGGCAAAAGCGGGTCGTATATGCGCAAGACCTCCGCAGATAATAGCGCGGCTTTGAGAGCCAAAAATGATTCCCGCGCATCCTCTCCGAAGTCAAACGGTCGATCCTCGCATTGAAGCTTGGTCAAGTGGGCCGCGATCTTCGAGTAGCCCTTGATGAAACGTTGGTAGTAGCCAGCGAGGCCAAGGAACGAACAAACATCCGTGACGTTCCGTGGCTCCGGCCACTCTTGGATGGCTTGAATCTTGTCCGATAGCGGACTGATGCCCTCCGGTGTGACAAAATGGCCCAAGTATTCCAGCTCTTGCCGGACAAATTCGCACTTGTCGCGGTTGGCCTTGTACTTGGCGCGGCGGAGCGTCTCCAACACTCATCGAAGATGCCCAAGATGATCCTCCAATGTTCAGCTATAGACGAGAATATCGTCTAAGTAGACCAGCACGAACCTGAAACGGTATTCACCAACTCGCGGTAGCTGATGCAGATCCCAGGGCTCGATCCCTAGTCCCCACCTTACCTGTGTACAGTATTTGTGTCGACCCCTAGAGTTGAACCCGTGACCTGTGTATTTGTAACCATTGGTAGGTTGTTGTAGGGTCCATAGGTAGCAGGGGTTCGATCTGTAGACCTGTCGAGTAGGAGTCTCAGTCAGGTCTAAAAGTCGTAGCTGCTACAGTCCAGAAAGGTCAAGGTCGTAGCTGCTACAGTATCGAAAGGCCAAGTCTACGGCCTTCCGGAAGGTCCGAGTAGTGGTCTTTCGAAGTTGCCCACGTTTAGGCTGAGGCAAGTGGGCAAGTGGTGAGGCAAGTGGTGGAGTCTACCCGTGCTGAGTCAGCAGTCCCGGTCCTAGTCAGTCCTGGTCCAGTCAAGCAAGTACAGCATGGGACTGTGTGCACTACGGGCATGGGAAAGGGGCCAGACCAGCGAGCTGCAAAAGTATAAATCAAGAGGCAGCGCCCAGCCATTCATTCATTCCTGCGCGAGCCATGCGGAAGCGCTGCCACAAGCGACTTGTGCGAGGTCGTCTGCAGAGAGCCCGAAGACGAAGTGGGCGAGAGAGAAGTAGTTTAGCCATAGCGATAGGGTAGTAGCGGCCATAGCCGCCATAGCTGTAGATAACGTGCAGTGTGAGTGTGTGTGTGTACAGAGTATTGCGTGTAGGATATCCAGGGTGATCCTGTGTATATGAACAGAGAGTTGTGTGGGCGCTGGGTCGCCATAGCCATCGAAGTGAACTTTTATCTGAACTGCGTTCTCGGTTACCATATCTCTGAGTTTTGAGTGGGCGCTTGTCACCAGTTTGTTGCGCACCTGTTTGCATGCATGAGAAGTGTGAATGAAAGCGAGTCAGATTGCATTGGTATCGAAGCTGGTACCCGCTATTCCACGCACGCCGTGCCGTTGTGTGCCGCAGGGTGAGTAACACACCATAGTCGAAGTTGCCAACAGAGGAGAAGTCCGCCATAGCGGACACGGAGGTTGAAGAAGCCGCCACGCGCACTTGCAGAGAAGACCACGACAAAGAAGAAGAAGAGAGAGAGAGAGAGAGAGAGAGAGAGAGAGAGAGAGAGAGAGAGAGAGAGAGAGAGAGGTTGAGCGATACAAGATTGGCTTACCACGTACCTGCGCTGAGGACATCGCTACGGCGAGAGAGAGAGAGAGGGGAGAGAGAGAGATGAGCAATACAAGTTTGGTTGCCACGTACCTTTGAAGTGTGACGTATAGTCCCACAAGGAAGAAGGAGGCGGCCATAGCCGTGGAGCTCCACCACAGAGCAACGAAGAGGGAGAAAGAGAGGACAAAAGAGGAGACCAAGGAGGGTGAAGGAAGCCATAGCCGAGGAGGTGAAGGGAGAGACGATAAAAAAAAAAAAAAAGAGAAAGAAGACAACCGGGGTGAAGAGAAAGAAGGCGAGGTAGGGAGAAAGGAAGGAGAAGGGTGGTGAGGAAGAAGAAGTTGGCAGCCATAGCTGACCGGCTGTTGACCGGGAGAGTTGACCGGGCGTTGACAGGACGTTGACTGAGGTTGACAGGCGTTGACTGGGAGTTGACCGGGGGTTGACTGCGGCGTTGACCCAGCGTTGACCAAGGCGTCGACCAAGGCCGTTATAATCTCGCCGGTATAATCTCGCCAAGCCTTCAGCCTATCCCCTCGCTGGAGCCGGTATAATCTCGCCAAGCCTTCAGCCTATCCCCTCGCCCTATGGATGTGCACACACCTTGTGGTACTTGCTGAGTCAAGTCTGTCTGTCTCTTCTTTCTGCATTGAGTCTCTTCTGTCCAGGTGATAGGAACTCTGTGGATGAAGGATAGGGCCTTGTTGACCAAACCCACACGGGCTGAGTAGGGCTAAAGACTGTGTCTGACGACTCGACTGTCCCGGAGGACACGAACCCTCCCAAGGACCGGTACTGACCGACGGGCTGCTCGGTGTGGCACGGTAGGCCCAAAATCCGAGTTGTGGGCTGCACAACAGACTGTCTAAGTCTTGAGAAGACCTGCTGATCGCGTCGTCCTGTCTGCGACGTTAAATAATTCCTAAGGAGTTACAAGGGGATCTTCTTAAATGCCTCCTGATCAGCAACAGGTCTTTTAGTGACAGCCTTAGAGTAGGTCTATGATAGAGACCGTAGTTGACAGGATCCTGTCCGGATTCTGTAAGTCCTTAGATTGAGTCAGTAGGTTGTCAATCAAGGGGAGTAGAGTCTAAGTGGTGAGGAGTGGAACCGCTGGTTGGTTGTGCACCTATCACCATGGTTGATACCCATACTGGAAAGAGTACTGCCCCCTCCGAGGCCGAGCAGGCCCGGATCACCGCCCTTTTGAGAGAAAGGAAAGAGAAGAAGGAGCTCCTGAAGCAGGCGAAGTTAAAGGCTATCGCAAAGGAGCAAGCGGCGAATAAGAAGAGACTAGAAGAAGAGATGTTGAGATTTCAACAGGAGAAGATGTTGCAAATACAGCAAGAGGAGGAGGAAAGAAGAAGGGCTACAGAGGAAGAAGCCGCTGCAGAAGACGAAGGAGAAGAAGAAGAAGAAGAGCGCCTCGAAAGGAGACGCAGGGAAGAGCGAGGGGAGAGTAGTGGCACGAAGGAGGAGGACAAATGGAGGGAAAATAAGATTAGCGAATGGGTGGCTAACTTATCATTGGGAGAAGATGAAGAGGCATTGTTATATGTGCCGCAGGAGGAGAGGGAGGCGTTTGCCATGGCTTTGGAGCTGATGGAGGATCCCCTGCAACGCCAGGCGACAGAGGATGAGAAGAAGTTGGAGTGGAAGTTGAAGATGATGAGAGAAAAGAAGAGAAGGAGGGAGGAAGCCAATAGAATATCCGGGGAGGTTGAGCGAGTGCGAACCGGCAAGCAGGAGCTGCAGGCCCAAACAAAGATCCCTGCCAAGCTAGATAAGATGATGGGCTTCTTGGAAGTTTTGAGTGAGGCCTGGCTGGGGGAGCACCAATCCCGTAAGGGTCAAGAGGTGACCCTGCAGGCAATGCGATCCGGGTTCAGAGAGTTTGCGAGCGACGTGGTAACCCACGTTCGGAACCGAAATTAGAAGATTGAGGGATGGCGTAGACAAGTTTTGTGCAGGCGCCATTGAGAGCGCCAAAGTTGTGGCCACAATAGAGGCCGCAGTTTGTCCTCGCAAAGAGCTAGTCAAGTTAAAATTTCCTGACTTGTATAGCGGGAAGAAGGAGGAGAATTTCGATAATTGGGAGGCCAGTATAAGCACATATGTCTATTTACAGCATATTGACCCCGAAGAACAAGTCCTCGTCGCCTTCCACGCTCTAAAGGATGAATCGGCTAGCTTCGCCAGGTCCCCCGCACGTGCCGCAGATTGCGAGCACAATATGATCGCATATTCTTGGCTTACCCCCCTCGCCACTTTCCTCAAACTCCTGCGCGAGAGATTTGTTGACGTCACCAGAGGCGTCAGGGCCTCTGATAAGCTCCAGACCATCCATTCACGACAGTGGAGGAGTGCGAGAGCACTCAAAGCTGTCATGGACGACTTGGTAGCCCTCCCAGACCACGGGGTCACGGCGGCCCAGCTGGTTCAATTGTTCTATCGTGCCATGCCAGAGCCCTTACGAGGGCATTTCTTTGACAAGACCCAACAGGCCAATATCACGTACGATGCGTTGAGTCGAGAAGTGGTCGTGTTTGAGGCGAGGTCTATGCAGTTTCCACTTTCTGGCATAAGGACCTAGATAAGGGAAAGAAGTGGAAAGGTCGTACCATCTCTGGCCAAGTCCGGGCCAAGGATCATTTGATCCTTACCTTAGACGAAGGTGGTACAGACGAGGTCCCCTACAGTTAGATCGAGTGGGGGCTTGAAGAGGAAGACAGTAGTGTAGGTCAAGGGAGGTCCTATGCTGTTGTCGCGGCTGGAGGAAGGCCGCAAAGTAGAGGAGGAGGCCAGGGCCAAAGGGGCTAGGCCATGGGAGGCCGAGGATTAGGCGCTCAGGGGGTTGGCAGTCAAGGGAGCTGTCAAGCGAGAGGTAGGGGTCAAGGTCCCCCGCCAAATCGTCAAGGTCCTGTCCCCGCAGCGACGAGGTGGTAGGTCACCTCAAAGGTCAGGAGGTTGGCACCCAGGTTGGCCACAAGGCCGACCCTAGGAAGATCTGGGCCTGGACTAGAAAGTGTGGCAACAGTGAATGGAGCAGGGGCAGTGCATTTACTGTGGTGACCCTGCCCATATTATCAAATATTGTCCTAAGTATAGACAGGCCCGGTGGGCTGCCCTGGAGTCAAAAGGCAGCCGCCGGTAGGGGTCGCAACTGCCCCTACTATTAGGCCATGTGGGGAAGCAAGCGCGCGAGTACAGGAAACTCCCACACCACATGAGCCTTCGACAGAGGTTGCAGGCCGGTGCCTAGTTAGCTGTCCAGAGACCGCTTGTGTCAGCGTCTCTCTAGGCACGTAGCTCACAGGCGTGGCAGAGGAATTAAAGGAGAGGATGCCTGGCTGGGCCAAGATGAAGAAAGATAGTAAAGGGCAGCTAGTGTTAGTTGATATAGTGGTCTTCAGGAGTAGAGTTGGGGCCCTTATAGATTCAGGGGCCACGCGCAGTTATATTAGCCGTAGAACACTGAAGAAGCTGAGGCTAGGATCAAAAGTCCAAAAGTTAGAAGACCCCATAGTTAGTGTCCACGCAGACAACCGCACTATGTGTGTTGAGGACTACGTAGAGGGAGTCCAGGCGTACTTCCGCCTAGAAAAAGATGGGAAGGTGGAGAAAGTTCTCCATTTCCTGACTCTCCTCGTTCAGGATGACCTTCCCTTCGATATAGTCCTAGGTACGGACTGGGGAGAGGCAGTAGAGGCCACACTCCACTTGCGAGAGCATGAGTGTAGGCTCCCTAGTCCGTCTGTCGAGGTTAAGACCGCCCGCCTGTTTCATGTGTCAGGAGTAGATAACTCCTTGGCACATTGCTGCCTCAGTGCTCCCGCGTTCACGCGATTAGTGAAGAAGGAGCAATTAGAGGACCAGGTTTTCGTAGTGTATGTTAGACCTGTCACTGAGCCTAAGGAAGGGGATAGCTCCATGGATCCAACCATTGCCAAGCTGCTAGAGGAGTTTAAAGATCTGACAGAGCCGCCGACAGGAGTAGTGTCGCGGCCAATCCAGCACAGGATAGAGATAGAGCCTGGCAGTAGAACTCCTAAGGGAGCAGTCTACAGGATGTCCCCTAGAGAGTTAGACGAGCTGCGCAAGCAGTTGGATGAGCTCTTTGAGAAAGGTTGGATTAGGCCCAGTTCGTCCCCTTTTGGAGCACCGATACTAATTGTCCCCAAGAAGGAAGGAGAGCTACGGGTCCAGAATAAACCAGGTGCCAGGTGCTTCCTCTACTTCCAGCAGCATGTTGGGTTGGAGTTTTCGTTCTTTCTGTTGCTTTGGGAGTTTGGGGCAGTTGGGGTCGGTGCCAAGGTGGCCTCTCTCCCTGCACCTAAAGCAGATGGGTGAATTTTTGGTTGAGATATCAATAATTAATTCCCTGTCATGGATCACGAGCTTCCATGTTTGGGGGAAGACTGGTGGGTCGTCAGTCTTCAAACTCTTCACCTCAAGGATTGCACCTGGAAGACCTCCTACCACTTCTGCCTCCTCAAGCAGCAGGGCGCCGCAGCTATGGCTGCCCAAGTTCCCCCCTTCGAAGAGGAAGAAGACTGGGCGCTTGTCGCAACTTCCAAAAAAATGAGAAAAGAACCTCAAAATTCTCAGCCTCTCCCTACTTCTACGAGACTTCCCTAGACCTACAACATAGCAGTCACCTACGAACCTATCTGACCGTCGAAACAGCAAACATCTACGGCCAAACAGTCAAGATCTGCCTACATGCATCTGGATGGAAATCTAGACTACGGGGACCCAAGACTAGGGCCTACCAATTTCCAGAAGAGCAGGAAAGGACAAAGCAGCAAGACCTGAAGGGTCTAACGCTGCCAAATAGAGACTACCAGCGACAGGTTCACGGATCAAGCCCAGCAAGACTCAAAGCTAGTTATCAACACATACATCATTGCAGTGCCACAGTGGAGAGCCAGAAATTCCGGTGTCGCCAAAATCCATTTCAGGATTTTGTTCGCCGGATACTGTCGCTCCAACCTGTCGACAACAACCCAGATTTGCTTCCTAAAAAGGAAAAGAAAAGGCAAACATTCAGAACGTCATTGGGCAGATTCACCCGGGCTTAACTGCTGCCAGATACATATTCAAACTGCTATCCCGAAATCCTGAAAACGCCCTGCCAACGTTACTTTTCTTCTTTTTTTTTGGCGTCGTGGAATACTTTTATTCTTCTCTTTCATGCCATTGCTCACAGCATAGGTGCACATGCACGGAAAACCAAGAGGACACATTGCAGTCCAGTTGCCCGTTTTCCCACCACCTTCGCATCCCTTGCATCCATGACTCACACAACATTTCCGTCCACAATGGCTGAAGGGCCCTCAGACAGCAGCATTGATTACTTCCTTGTAGGGGATGGATTTACCACCGCTTTAACCCTGCAAAAAAATTCTTAGTCGCTCCTCTCAGCCCTCTATGGTCTGACTCTGACAAAGTTTAAAGCCACCTGCAACTGAGCCTGTAGCTCCGGAGGTTATCCAGAATATCAATCATGATGAATGATTGCATTGCTCCTTGATTGACCGAGCTGAGGGTCATGCAAGCAACATGAACAGTGGGCCCACAGCCATTGTTTCTTTCTTTTTTTTTTCCAAAAAGAAAAGGGGGCTAGCCCCTAACATATTGTGTACAATCCAGCAGTCTAGCTCAGTTGGTTAGGCACGCAAGTGGCATCCAGGAGGTTGTGGGTTCAAGCCCCATGACCGCATGCGGCGCACTTAGTGCCAATGGACTGTGATAGTCCTCTGGATACCCCTGATTGGTATTAGCGGGGTCTATGACCAACACGTGTGCGAGTGCGAGTGGGTTGTGTCACTTGTGTGTGGTGTGTGGGAGAGTGTTGGCCATAGCCTCTGCTGGTACTCGATGAGGGGTGGGGGACAATGAGAAAGGGAGGCGCAGCTACTGGCAAAATGCTCGGTCTTTGCGTTAGCCGTACCCCCACCGACGGCCCCACCCCATCTCTGACTACCGCTGTTGGGGCGGGGGGCAACATGATTTACCTCATTTGTGAGGCCCTATGCTTGCAGGGGTCTCCTCTATATAGTCTGAGTAGTTGTAGGAAGATAGTGAAAGGCAAAAAGAATTTGAGAGAAGAACATACTGTAGTTTTTTAAAAGGAAAAAAGAAAAACGTACTGTGTGCACATGATCCAAGCAGGATTTCACTCATGCGCTGTCCACTAACAGTTATGCAGTGAGTAATGTACCACTCAGCCACGTGGCTGGTTAGCCCATAACATTTCAATAGCGGGGTCACAAACTTTCGACAGCCGGCCCACAGCCGGCCCACAGTGGGCCCAAATACTTCCAACCCTTCTTCCAACCCTTCTTCCAGTGAAAAGCATCATCAACCAACATGCATACATGTAACTGCTAGGGAACAGATCATGAGTTCAAAATTCAAATACAAGACTGCCAGGGGCTACCGCCTTTGCATCATGTGCACCACTGCACCATGCTGTGCCTGCATGCTACATTCATACATGTAACTGAAAGAAAACAGATCATGAGTTAAATCCTGCTGGATACAAAGTTACAAACTGCTATGGGCTACCCCCCTTGCATCATGCACACCTCTGAAGCACGGAGTGGCTGAACGCCACACACATACATGTATTTGTTAGGAAACAGGTCATGAGTTCAAATCCTCATCGACACAAAAGTGCTAGGGACTACCACCTTTGCATCATACACACTTCTGTAGTCTGTACCATGCACACGCGGGTCGATCGCTCTCCGACGAGCAAGACCACATTGGGTTCTGCGTAAAGGGCCCAGACAGTGTTGTCGGTTTTCTTATTTTCCAGGGCTGAATCTGGGAAAAAAGTTCAAGAAACCAAAAAATTAAAAAGGTATGTGCTGAGGGCAGACTCACACTACGCACTCAAAATCGCAGAATCCCAAAATCAGCGGCCAGATCCAGTCCTCCTAATCGAAGAACTCGATCTGGCCGCTCATTTTGCTATTCTGTGATTTTGAGAGCCTAGTGCGAGTATGCTCTGAGT